CATTTAAAAAATGACTATTTGGATTATTTTTATTTGTTAGACTCATGTCATTTTTAAAAAGTGTTCAGCCATCAGATGCCACACACCAACTGCCTAACATCCTTTTGAACTATCATTGATAGCATTTGTGTCTTTAGAGAAAAGTGTTTCTAAACGAGCAACTAGGTTCTTCTAACATACAGGGCGATAGCGTTGCTGATACTGTTTGTTAGGAAAAGCGGTAATATCTTGAACTATATCATATCCTACAATTTTATGTGACTAAGTTTCTCCACAATTTAAAATAACGCTGTTTTTAGATAAGTAGTCCCCAGATAAAAGTTTAAGTTGTGATTTCATAGAGAAATCTTTGGAAAGAATGAAACTGCAAACTGGTAAAATTTCTGGACAAAATGTTCTTAGCTAACAATGTATATGCAAAGGATATGTAAGGCTTTAGAAATCACAGTAGAGTACCAGCATCCGAAGTTAATTGGTTATGACAATTTGTCATATTGGAATAATAAATTGCCTTTTAAATAATAACAATCATAACTTGCCATATAAGAGGTAGGATGAAGATACTTTAAACCCGCAGGTAAAATTACTTTTTAAATAGTCTAGACAAAATTTCAAGTGGGTTCTCAAAAAATGAAAATAAATAGAAAAGCACAGTTGCAAACAACTTTTAACTATTGTTTAATTCTGCAAAGGCCCTAGACATGATACATACATTAACGTTCTGATTAACATTTTAACATCTTAAAACTATGCTTAAAGGGGTGAATAACAGATGTCAGACATGTACACATATTTTTATTCTTCTATTATTTGCATATGGCTCTGATGGCCAAAAAAAAGAGCTGTCTTAGCAACTATACCAAGCCTTGGGGTACCCAGCTGACTGCATCGACTTTCTTCGTGAGCCAGGACGAGAGGTGTCATGTGCAACATAAAATTTCTAATTGAGCATTAGGAGTACCTATTCTGAAATGTTGTTTGGCATGTATCCCCTTCAACCACATCTCTGTTTCTCCTCTCCTTTTGTCTCCCTTCTCCCCAGACCCTTGTTCATTCCTAAATGAACAACCACTCCCCATCTCTTCATTTGCCTCCATGCTCTCATCTCTAACCCCAATTCACTGCACAAATGATTTCCCTAAAGAAAGACACTTTTCTCTTTAACAGAAATTCCACCATGGGTGGTTAAGATCTTCTCTTCAACCCACTACCCAAGCAAATATCTATAGCCTATAGATAAATCTACCTAAGTGAGGTTCAAACAAGTATGCACACAGGATATTCCTGGTCCTCAAGGAGAAAGGCTTGGAGGAAGGTTCTGCCCAGAGCTTCATCTGTCCTGAACTTATGATCTTTATTGTCTGCTTCTCTTCTTCTGTGTCCCAAATTGGCCTGCCCTGAATGTATCACATCTTTGTGTTAGGGATAGTATATCAACTATGGAGAAATACTTTTCAGCTATTACTAACACAGTTCAGTTTTTCTGGAAAACGTCTGTATCCAGTATGTCCAGAGTCCTGCAGGGCTAGACTCTGAGAGGCTCATCGTCTGCTTATTCCCATCTGCAAATGCACCCTCTGGGGAGGACTCAGGCAGGGGCTCTTGTCTCTGTGGTTCTATTGGTCGTGATTTTCACAGACTGCCGTAGGCATTGGTAAGAGGAGAGCAATTTTCAGGTGGATGCTTCTTCACAAACCTCCCCTCACTTCTAGCAAATCCTATGCTCTGTGACTGTACCTGTAATACATTATTATGCATCTTCTTGCCTGCAAATCCCTGGCATTTCTTGATTTAAACCTTTACATTAGCAGCACGCTTAGACAAAATCATCAAGGGCAACAATGGGAAGAAACAAGGCCTGTGTCATCAAGAAAGATAGCTAGTAGATATGACTTGGCGGAGAAAACAAAACAAAACAAAAACAAAACAACAGTCTATACATTGTCTTTGTTTTTTTCCCCCCATGGAAAAAAGGCCAAAGTCATTTTATCTGAATAAAAGCCATTTTCAGACCAAAGATCTTTTCCATACTTAACTCTGCTCACCATATTTAATTCAAATATATTATCTCAGCACCTCCTTAAAAACACTTAAGTTCTGCAAACTAAAACAATGAATCAAATATGGCCCCTTTAAGGTGATAACAGCCAAATTTAGCTTCTTCCACAAGCCAATTCTCAGATACTTGCAACATTATCCTCAGGTTCTGATACATACAGTAAATTAAAAGCCCATTTAGTAACTTTATTTGACAGCTGAACTGTCTCTAAGCAGCCTTAGGCAAAGGATACAAATGTCTGGTTCTTTCACAGAGAGCCATAACTTACAAACAACTTTACAATGTTTAGTCTTGCATTCTTTGGTCTATAGGCTCTACCATCAGTAATGTGTTTATCAGTGAAAATATTATGTAGGCCTGTTGGCCAAGGCACTAAAGATGTGCTCAGAATAAAGTGTCCACGAACATGCTGTTAAAATGCAAAAGAATTATGTGAAAGTCACCTTTTCAAAAATAGTCATTTTACTTCTGACCTTTACAAGTGAATAATAGAGTTTCATTTGGAACATAATTGCATGACCTAAACCGTGTGCGCTCTGCACAATGCTCTTCACAAAACCCAAGATACTTCTTGATAAAATAAGCTGAAAGTTCCCAGTTTAAATAAGCAAACTGAGAAGTGTTTAAGGCTCTATATTCATTGATGTCTTTTAAAGTGCTCATAGCATTAAATGGTGTTTATAATAGCTTTGTCTTCTCTCCCTTCTGACAGATTTGGGTCTTTTTTCAGGGCTCAGGGAACCGTCCCCCTAGCTTTCCCTCAGACCTGAGGCTTTCTACAGCTCAGATGCTGGATCACTCGGTTCCCAAGTAGTTTCTGTCTGCTCTGGCGTTTCTTGATTTAAACCTTTAAATCTTGATTTAAACCTCCTCATCTCTCACACCCTGGAAGTTCTTGGCAACTGAAAAGAAGTACATTTTCTTTAGATCTGCGTATTTATAAGGACACAAACACACACATGATTCTACCTGAAATCCCAAGACATTCACCTGGGATGGTTCACCTAATTCCAACACCCCCTACCGGTCACAGATCCCACCACACCTACTCATTTCCCTCAGGCCCCACATATAGCCAAACTAACCAGTCTTCCCATTCCTGCCAAAAATGCTCATTCCCACTTGTTCTCCTTATAAAAATTCCCAAGTCCTTTCAAGATACATTTCTTTTAAAGATTTTATTTAAGTAGTCTCTACACCCAATGTGGGGCTTGAACTTATGACCCCGAGATCAAGAGTCGCATGCTCTTTTTTTTTTTTTAAGATTTTTTTTATTTATTTATTTGACAGAGAGACACAGCGAGAGAGGAAACACAAGCAGGGGGAGTGGGATAGGGAGAAGCAGGCTTCCCGCCGAGCAGGGAGCCCGATGCGGGGCTCGATCCCCGGACCCCGGGATCATGACCTGAGCCGAAGGCAGACGCTTAACGACTGAGCCACCCAGGGGCCCCAAGAGTCGCATGCTCTACTGAGCCAGCCAGGTGCCCCTCAAGATACATTTGAACATCACCTATATCAATAGGTCTATCCTAACTCTCCCAGAAAGATTAAAGAGGGCACGTACTGCATGGAGCACTGGGTGTTATACGCAAATAATGAATCATGGATCACTACATCAAAAACTAGTGATGTAATGTATGGTGACTAACATAACAATAAAAAAATAAGAAAATTAAGAAAAAACAAAAAGGTTATCAGTTTTCCCCCCTAATTCCCCATATATATGAGTCTGCATTGCTGTGACAGTGGTGTTGTAGTGCTTTTCTTTTGTTACTCTGTCTGCCTTCCTGTTATATTATAAGCTCCTAGACAGCAAGGGCCAAAATGAATGATCCCTGGCGTTTCTTGATTTAAACCTTTACATTAGCAGCACGCTTAGACAAAATCGTCATTGTCTAGAATGCATGCATCCTCATTGTTTGAAACCGTCATTTATTGAAATGTTATTACCTAGGCCCAAACTGGGAGGTAATCCTCTCAAATGATAGTGAATAAGGGAGAAATATTTCTGCTTTGAGATCTGCAATGCCTGGAAAGAGTTATTAGTATATAAAGATATAAGATATATAAAGATAAAAGTTCCTTGTCTTTGCCCCCTGCTCAAAATAAAGCTGTTACCTTTCTAGCCCTGTCCGCCATGGTGCTTAGCAGCCAGGGATGCGTGGTCTCAGACATGTTTACCAAGTAAAACACTGACTTGAGGGGCGCCTGCGTGGCTCAGTCATTAAGCATCTGCCTTTGGCTCAGGCCATGATCCCAGGAACTTGTGTTCCTGCTCTCGCTCTCTCTCTCTCTCTGTCAAATAAATAAATAAATAAAATCTTTAAAAAAAAAAAAGATAAAAGTTCAATGAGAGAAGCAGGAACAAAACAGAAAAAAGTGGAATTATTTATTTATTTATTTATTTATTTATTTATTTATTTATTAAGATTTTATTTATTTATTTTGACAGAGACAGACACAGCGAGAGAGGGAACACCAGCAGGGGGAGTGCGAGAGGGAGAAGCAGACTCCCCGCTGAGCAGGGAGCCCGACGTGGGGCTCGATCCCAGGACCCTGGGATCATGGCCTGAGCCGAAGGCAGATGCTTAATGACTGAGCCACCCAGGCGCTCCAGCATTAAGTATTTAAATAAACCATTAAAGTCCTGCAAATTTTGAATAATTTTGGAGAGGTCTTTGGGATTTTACTAATAGATATGATCCTTTTCCCAGAAAATGCATCTGCTTATACCCATGAACACATAAACACACACACAGATAGACAGACAGACACACACCCCTTTAAGATACTTTAAAAAAATATTTTATTTTTATTTATTTATTTTAGAGAGAGAATGTGTACATGTATGTATGCATGTGTATGGGGGAGGGGCAGAGGAGGAGGGAGAGGGAGAGAGAATCCGCAGGCAGACAACACCCGCCCCCCCACCACTGCTGAGCACAGAGCCAGAGTAGGGGCTTGGTCTCAGGACCCTGAGATCATGACCTGAGTTGAAACCTAGAGTTGGATTCTTAACCGACTGAACCACCCAGGAACCCCTAAGATAGTCTTAAATGGTCTCTTTCCCTTGAAATCATCCGTGGATTCCACTGGTAAGCTTTTGCGCTAGTAACCTCAGCCCACAGATTAAGAACATTGAGCCTCTGAAAATGGTGTGAGCGGGCAGAACCCCGTAAGACAGCAAAGAGCAAGTTTTAGGAGAAAGTGGAAGAAAACCACAAGAAAGACGGGCAGTGTCCCTTTGGACCACTCCGGCTCAAAGAGCTTTTGCTTCAGTGTTTGTCTGAATTGCAAGTTGTATCTGTCTTATGATTACAACTAGCTGTTGAAGGAGTGTGGTTTTGATGTTTTGTTTTTGATTCCATAGGAAACAAAAAGATACCACTGATTAAAGGCCTCTATCCTTTTCACCTCTGGAGGTGAGAGCTGATATCTTAAGGAACAAGTCATTCTTGGGAGAAAGGCAGAAGGCGGGTAGGGGGCTGTTAGGCCACAAGAAGGGACAGGGCAATGGTTGGGAGAGAAAGGGATGGGATGGTAAGCTTATTTTCACCATTTAAATTCAAGTTCAGAGAACCTTTGCTATCCTCAAATCTTAGTAGAAATAGGATTGAGTAGGAGCAAGCAAACAAGATGGAATATGGAAAAGACAAACAAACAACTTAGCAAATGAGATGCAGAAAAATGTTAAAATTATATGAAAGGCTTACCATAAACAACTAGTACTTCAGGGAAGTAGGACATGTTAGGAGTTAGAAATAAAAATAGGCGTGTCTACGGACTACAAGAACCACTGCAGGAGTAGAATGATTTGATTCTCTTTGCCGTAAGTCAGCAAGCCCTAGGGTCTCTTCTTGGTCCCATCTACCTTGCCAGGAGACCTAATTTCTTCCTGGAGACTTCTGAGGATTCTGTTTTATTTTCCCCATCTAACAACATAAACAATAACGGATGTGATCATTTATTTAGCGCTCACACTAGGCTGAATACTGAGCAGAGAGCTTTCCATAAACATGATTTCACTTCATCCTAATGTCTATTCCATGAGGCAGGTGGTATTACTACCCTCTTTTGCGGATGGAAAAAAAAAATGGAAGTTCAGAAAAGCGTTAACTCTCTCAAGGTCAAACAGCTGATAACTGCAAGGATGAAAGGATTTCTTCTTCCAACACTCATTTTCCTGGAAGGCAGTTGCAGACCTTAATTAACCGGTTAGCTAGTTAGACTAAGACAGGGAGTCTGGCGTGTAAAATGGTTTTTCTAACACTATGGCAGACAAAGAAAGCATAGTCCAGCAACCAAAAGAAATTTCATATTAACTCAGATTCTTTATTTGAGCAACGCTTCTTAAAATCTCATTTCTACCCTATTTCCTTACTGACCCACAGCTTCCCTGGTCCTTTCTCCCACTAACTACCCTAAAACCCTCCTTCCCCACTCTAGCCATTCTCTCTCTGTGTCCCCTTTCTTTCTCTTCTCTTGCCCAGACTTCTTATGTTCTCCCAATTTTAAATCACAAAACCCAACCATGCAGGACTTCTGTTCGAGTAAGACAAACTTGCCCCACATGCTAAAGCTCAGGCCCGCTCCCCACTGGCCCTGGTGCCTTTGGGCACTATATACATACACTAGACCACCAGCCAGCAGCTGTGCATGGGACACTGAAGAACTCTCCTCAAGAGAAAAAGGGAAAGAAAACCCCTTACGTGGCAGAGCCAGATAATTCTTCAGTTGGCAGGGAGGAGAAAAAATTTGAGAGTTCCCACAAATTAGTCATTTTGGTTCAGTGACATTTATTTATATGTTTTTTTTTTTCTTCAACTAACCTTGAATGTCATGAGATTTGGGTTTACTTTATAGGAATAGGAAACCACTGATAAGATTTGGTGAAGAAATTGCCTTAAGCCTATCCATATACATACAAGGTAGTCTGGCTGAAAGGTAAAGGATAGATTGAAGAAATGAAGGGTGACAGATGGCAAAAGAGACTTTTCTTTCCCTTTTGCCCTCTTCTCCTAACCCCCAGAAGGAGTCTTTGCAAAGACTCATATACATCAGAGACATGTTATGAAATAATGCATTAAAGTTGCATTGTGGGAGGAAGTCACTCGTAGCAAGAGAAATGTGTGTTTGGGTTCCACTCTATTTGCAGTCATGGCTAAGACACTCACTTGGAACTGTCAGACATGCTTGGATGAGACCATGCCTGGCACATGGTCATCAATATTTACTCATTGTGTAAATAATTATCCATTGCAGGAGCACATGCATGAATACATGGGGTTGGCAGTCCATGGAGTAGGCAGGTAGAGACATGGACTGGGACATTTAAGTTATTACTCTTACCTGACTTCATCTATTCCAATAGGTTGGTGGTTCCAGCAGAAGTGGAGTTTTGATTTTATAATTGTGAAAAAGTAAAAGAAAATCAAGTTTGAGGAGATGATAATGACATTGATTTAGGATGTTGGTTGAGCTTTAAGGCTAGAAGACTTTATTACCTCCCTAATAACCGGCTACTCCCACATGTAGATGAAGTACTGAACTACTATCCTTTATTCATTCAACTAAATATTATTGGTGATGACTTTGGTTAGGAACTATAATAGGGATCATAGAGAGATGACAAAGAAGGAGCAAAATCATAAAGAACCCATGGTCTGGGGTAACAGTATAATACAAGGTGACAGATGCCATAATTAAGGTATAGACCGAGTCATAGTAGGCCAAGGTGGAAAGGAGTGTATGAGATATGGTGGAGCACTCCTCAGGGAAGGAAGGAATATTTTGTTACTGACATTGTTTAGGGTTGCTGGTGCATGGTGATAATAAAAAGCAGCTGACCTCTAGTCAGTTTTATTGTTTTTCAGTTCTCCACAGACAACTTAGCACCTTTTTGCTTGCTCCCAGGGCAGATTGCTCTCCCCCTCCCCCATCTCCCATCTTTAGTATGGCTGACACTGATTCGCACTGCTGTGTGAGCAAAGTGAAGGAAGAGATTGACTTTTTCTGAGGAAGCTACAGAAAGAATAACAAGGCCAGCGACATTGAAACTGAATTTTGAAAAGAAGAGTTCACCTAGTTATCTAGAATGAAATATTATAAAATATTAATTCCCTGCTGGATTTTGGAACCCATTGTTCTGTGTGGTGTACCACTATTCATTTACCAGTATTACCTCCAGCCGTAATCAGCTAAGGCGTACCAGCGCTGTGGCGCCTGGGTGGTGCGGTTGGCTGAGCGTCCGACTCTTGGTTTCAGCTCAGGTCATGATCTCAGGGTCGTGGGATCAAGCCCTGCGTCTGGCTCTGTGCTCAGCGTGGAGTCTTCTTGAGACTCTCTCCCCCTCTCCCCATGTTCTCTCTCTCTCTCAAATGGATAAATCTTAAAAAAGAAGAAGAAGAAAAAGAACCACTGTTATTCTTTAATGTAACAGGTCAATTATTTTGCTTGCTCAGCTTTCTCACTCTCGGGAATACCTAGTTTTGCTCCAGGAGAGAAAAGAAACCCTGTTTTCCATGCACACGGATGCAGGTTAGGTTCTCTACGAAGCTGACCCTGAGGCAGAGGTTCACGTGCAGTATGCATACGAGGAAGTGCCTGCAGAAGGGGGAGAAAGAAGCAGGATTAGTTGAGCGAAAAGACAAGCTGTGATGACGGCCTAATAAACAGCTCCAGCTGATCCTGTAGGAAATTCTGGAGTTAAAATGGTCTTTCATTGTAAATGACTGAGCCTTTATATACCTGATGGTTGTTGGATGGGAGCCACGTCAGGAAAGTATGCCCTTGGGCAAGCAGCAACACCTACCTGTAGCCAGTACCAGCCCTGAAATGCTCTGTCCCTTCCCACCTCCTGCCCCATCATTCTAGCGAAAAGGGCCATTTGCCCTCATTTAACCATATTCTTGGCTTCTTCAGCATTTGTTCCCACTGAGAACCACACCAGATAAAGAGCCAAGTCGCCTATCCCCCACTCCCTATGGCTCCTTTGTTTTAGAAATCTTATTTGGTTTAGATAGCTGACCATTTGGACTGCTTGTTTGTTTTTTTTTCCCTTCCTGTGCTTTAAATTTCCTCTCGAATGCTTTAAAATTCACAAATACAAAGTAAGCTCTCAAAACCCTAAACTTCAATCCTCTATCCCCCAAAAAGCAGACCCGCACTCTCTCTCTATCTACAGCCTCATGGTGTGCCCGCAAATGTGTCGTGTAATTTCCAGAACTTATAAGTAATAAATATTTTTTTTTTAAGTTCCTGATGTGGGGCCCCTGGGTGGCTCAGCTGGTTAAGCATGTGACTCCTGATTTCAGCTTAAGTCCTGATTTCAGGGTCGTGAGATGGAGCCCCACATCGGGCTCCACACTGGGCATGGAGCCTGCTTAAGATTCTCTCTTTCCCTCTCCCTCTACCCCTCACCCCATGTGCGTGCACTCTCTCTCTCTCAAAAAAAAAAAAAAAAGTTTCCTGATTGTTATTGCTGAGGGTGTCTTGCAGTCATAATGAGAACCACAAGGGTGGGTCCAGCCACAACAGTGCTTATGGATAGGCTGAGACTGGCACAAAACACAAGATGTCAGTTCTTCCCAAGTTGACCTAGAGATTCAGTGCAATTCCAGTCAAAATCCCAACAAGTTATTTTATGGATATAGACAAACTGATTCTAAAGTTTGTATGGATGGTGAAAGATCCAGAACAGCCAATGCAGTATTAAAGGAGAAGAACAAAGTTAGACCGATGTCACCCAACTTCAGGACTTACTCTGCAGCTACAGTAATCAAGACAGTGTGGTGTTGGTAAGAGAATGGAAAGACAGACCAATGACACTGACTAGGGAGCCCAGAGATAGACATCTATAAATATACTCAACCGATCTTTGATTAAGGAGCAAAAGCAGTACAAATAGTCCCCCCTTATCTGCTGGGGATACATTCCAAGACCCCAGTGGGTGCCTAAAACCACAGAAAATACCAAACCTTGTATATACTATGTTTTTTCCTGTATATACATACCTGTGATAAAGCTTAATTTATAAATTGGGCAACAGTAAGAAATTCACAACAATAATGAATAATAAAATAAAACAATTATAACCATATACTGTAATAAAAGTTATGTGAATGTGGTCTCTCTCTCTCTAAATACCATACTGTACTTATTCATCTTCTTCTGGTGATCATGTGACATGATAAAATGCCTTCATGATGAGATGACGTGAGGTGAATGACATAAGCATTGTGACGTAGTGTTAGGCTTCTAATGACCTTCTGACATCAGAAGAAAGATCATCTGCTTCCAGACTGTGTCTGACCACAGGTTGACTAAAACCACAGACTGTGAAACCATGGAGACGGGGGAGGGTACTGCTGTACACAGTGTAACAAAAGTAGTTTCTTCAACAGATCGTGCTGGAACTACTGGCCATACAAAAAATGAATTAGACACAGACATTACAACCTTCACGAAAATTCACTCAAAATGGATCATAGTCCTAAATGTAAAATGCAAAACTATAAAGCTCCTAGTATATCATACAGGAGAAAACCTAGATGACCGTTGGGACTGTGATGCCCTTTCAGATACAACAGCAGAGACGTGGTCTATGAAAGAAAGAATTGCTGAGCTGGACTTGATTACAACTTAAAACTTTAGTCTGTAAAAAACAATGTCAAGAGAATGAGAAGGCAAGCCACAGACTGGAAAAATATTTACAAAAGACACACCTGATAAAGGACTTTTATTCAAAATATACAAGAACACTTACTAAACTCAATAAGAAACCGAACAACCTGACTTAAAAATGGACCAAATTCCTTAACAGACTCCTCACCAAAGAAGATATACGGATGGCAAATAAGCATAACAATGGCTATATGTCACTACATATTTGTTCAGATCCATAGAATATGCAACAACAAGAGTAAACTCTGCAGTAAACAATGAACTTTTGGTGATAATCTTGTGTCAGTGTGGGTTCATCCTTGGTAAAAAATGTACCATTCTGGTGAGTGATGTTAATGTTGGGGGAGGCTACATATGTGTGGGGCAGGGGATATTTGGGAAATTCTGTACCTTCCTCTCAATTTTGTTATAAACCTAAAAGTGCTCTAAAAAATTAAGTCTGTTTAAAATGTTTTGTTCTGGGCGCCTGGGTGGCTCAGTTGGTTAAGCGACTGCCTTCGGCTCAGGTCATGATCCTGGAGTCCCTGGATCGAGTCCCGCATCGGGCTCCCTGCTCAGCAGGGAGTCTGCTTCTCCCTCTGATCCTCCCCCCTCTCATGCTCTCTCTAGCTCATTCTCTCTCAAATAAATGAATAAAACCTTTTAAAAAAAATAAAATAAAATAAAATGTTTTGTTCATTTTGTTTCTTCAAGAAGGATGATAGCACAACACCATCTCTCCTTGCAGGAGAAACACAGGGATCAGGGCAGAACACTTCCCCATTTGTGACATCTAGTGGCTCTGCATCTGAATGACAACCTCTTAGAGAAGGAAAATCTGGCAAAGTCAACTGGTTCGGCCTGGGTTTTACCAGTTCCTGAAAAAACACAAAAGCACTCCTAATTCCCCAGAAAAGTTCAGCAGTGTTCTAGTTTCACAGCCAAGTAGATGAAAATATAAGGTGTTTGTCTGTCTGCCGAGTATTTATTTGGATTTAAGAAAGTACAAAAGCCAAAGTGCACCAAAGCTAGAAAATAATAATGGTAGGGAAGAATGGAAAACCCGGTTCCCATCCTCAAGCTATTCCTTAGCACAAGAAAGGCCATTAAAGAGCCAGCTAGCCTCCATAGCAGCATCTTGCATAGTAGTGGGAGGAAATACGCAGAATGGAACTTCAGGATAAATGGCTGATGTCTTCATGGAGACTAGGAAAGAACTGGGAAATCGACCCAGTCTTTAATCGTTTCTGCAACCATGTTGACTTGGCTAGTTGGTATCCCCTTTGTGCCTTTGCATATGTTATCTCCCTAAACTTAGACCCCACAACAACTCTAGAAGGCAGGTGTTTTACTTCCTTGTTTTGGTAAGTGAGAACACAAAGTCTCAGAGAGTCTGTACCTTGCCCTAGTTACAGCTAGAAAGGAGCATTGCTGACAACTGATTCCATGTCTCTTTGGCTTCAGGAGTCCGTATTTTTTCTATATCACATTCACCCAGATTATAGTTTTCATAAACTAATATTCTTTGTTTTCCCACCAGTATTTTCCACTTTTCTTGCCCCCCTCCCCTGTAACAAATATTCTGGGTCTATTGCTTCAGGGGAGGGATGTGGGGAGACATACATTTTGTATTCCAAAAGCCTGAGTTAGGAAGTTAGAGGACTCAGGGCATAGAAGAAGAGCATAGGAAGACTGCCAAGAATTGAGGTGAAGGGAACTGGATCTACTTCTTTTTCTTGCAGAGGTGGGATAAATTTGAGAGAAGACAGGTGTGCATTGGAAAGAGAGGCCCGAAAGCTTCTTCCCTGGCAGAGCCATCATGATAAGAGGCACTCACTGTGGAAATGTCCGAAACACCTCAACTGGATGTATATGAGTATAAACCACCTGTCTGAGAGTCTCGCACCCTGTAGTAAGTTGGAAGCGCTAGAACGATGCAATCTGTAGGGGCCAAGGTCACAGAAACAAGGCACATCCCAGACAACTGGGTTACACGGACATGCACGCAGCGCAGTTTACACACACCCCTGGGAGGCGTGGGGAAACTAAGTGGACTGGGTTTAAGGGTTCACCCCCTGTAAGAACTGAAGGACAAAATAAACTTCATGTTGGATTACAGAGAAACAAAATTATATTTAATGGCCACCTTGTATTAGCTTCCTAGGACTGCTATAATGAACTGCCGTAAAGTGGGGGGCTTCAGACAATGGAAATGTATTCTCTCAGTTCTGGACGCTGGAAGCACAAAATGACGGCGGCTGCAGGCTATGCTCCCTCTGAAAACTGTAGGGAAAACTCCCTTTGGGCCTCCTCCTGGCTTCTGGTGCTTACCAGTATACAGGAGGAAAAACAATTTTCCCTTTACCCTTCTAGGTTCTTGCTGAGAGCCCGTTATGATAAAAGACAGAGTAACAGGAGAGAATCACACAGAAGTTTAATGATATGTGTATTATTTTCCTGGGAGACACCTCAAATGACCCAAGCTACCCCCTTAAATACCATCTCCAGCTCAAGACGAAAGAAGATGTTGGGGGAGGGCAGTTATGAGAAGTGACCAGGCAAAGCCCAGTAAACAAAGGGAGCATGGCTATGCGGATTGAAGTCCTTGCTTTCTCCACTGGTAAGAGTTTGTAGAGATTTGGTTATCCTCCTCTTCCTGGGACAGACAGGAAGGCACTCTAGAAGTGGAGATTGCCCTTGTAAATGTAAATGTCTCTTACAGAAAGGTAACTTTGACTCAGGCTTCAGAGCTTGTGTCTGCTATTTCTTAAAATTAATTAGCCTAAAATTTTCACAGATTCTAGGAGTCAGGGCTTGAAGATATCTTTTTGAGGGTCACACTTCAATACACCCCACACCTGAGTCTGTGGTCTGGGGTTCATACCTGCTACACACATGAGTTTGGTGTGAAGGAGATGACACTGTGCAGGGTTAAAAGTATA